AGTGGATGAGACACCTATATTAATATTAGCATCTCAAATGTATATAATTCGACCTTAAACTAAATTGATACAAAATTTTAAACTAGAAAGGCTCTAAAATTAAAGTTCGGGTGTATTTTTTAACCTATAATTTTGCAACCAAAAAGGAAAATCAAAGGAAAATTTTGAAATCTTTAGTTATTTAAATATAATTTTCTTAATCTAAGATGATTCGTCCTTAAATATCTTGGGTTGGTCCATCTCTTAGTCTTGTTCTGTCACCAACAACGACACCGTGACTTTGGGAAGTTTGAAAATGAAAGAACGGCCCTTTCAAACGTCGTCGTTTTCTTCACCACCAAGTTGGTTTGAATTTTGAATCCACGTCACCTTGAGAATTCAAAACAAAAAATTTGGGTTTGAAGTTTGGATTTGCATTAATATATGTGGTGCAGAAATATAACAGATGCACAGAAACTGGAGCAAATTTTGTTTGAAAATCGACATGTCGGTCAAATGTGAACGGGAGAGAGAGATAAATAGGGCACGTAATTAAGTATAATTAAAAGGGTCAAAGATTTGGGGATGGGAAAAACAACACTTTTGATTGTGAGTGGTGAGCACATTCCTTTTCATGGGATCGGAGGACCCTACAAGGGTATCACAAAACATACTTTCACTTTGTCTCCTTCGTAGACTAGAAAAATGCCACCTACTCCCATGCTATAATACCCATATGTGTAATTAAATTTGTCCTATATAACTCATAAGTTTAACATTTTTTCACTATTTATATGGATATTCCCTAATTTGAGTATAGCTTATTAGGATAAGTTTATTATTCCTTTCCTTAAAATATAAAACCGTCGATTGTTTACTTTGTATTTGTGTAAATGAAGAAAGAAAAAGAAACTAATGCACCGTATTAAATTTTCCTTTGTTTTGTTATGTATTTATGTTTTCCCACTTTATATACTCAAATTTGGGGATTCCATCTATAAACACAAAGTTTATAGTTGACCGATGTTGCTCCTCAATCGTTTAACTATTCTATTTGTTGTGGTATAGAGAACTAACGTCGAGATTGGACACAAGTGTTAAATTCATTTCATTTTAATTAGTTAAATATATACTCGAGTTTTCTATTTAAACTTTGAAGTTAGAGATTCAAATCTTCTACCCTTCATATTTATTCTACTCATGTATAGATGTATCTTTATTGATATATGGTCCCTATTTGACTCCCTCTCATTGCTTTATACCTCTCTACTAGGGATTTAAGCGATTCAGTTTAGCTCGATTTTAGAATAAAATTGAAGACAAATGAATTAATGTTAGAAAATTGTAGGCTTAAAGATAGTCTTGTTTTAATGGATATATATATGAAATAATCGGCTCAGGTACGTTTTTATTCAAACTTTTTTTCCCCATATTTATATTTACAACTCACCCATCAAACGCACTCTAAATTTCACAATTTAAATTATATCAATACAAATAAGTCTAAATATCACAATAATGTCTTTTCAGGTCTCTACAAGCCCCACCTCGTAAATCTTTGTATCCAATTCAAGATTGTTAAAAAATTAAAATTAATGATTTCTAAAACTTCAATAACAAAAACAATGCACCACACAAGTCATATAAAAGAGTCTTTAGTGACACGAATCTTGGAGTTTTGAGGGATAATTGATAGAACTGTTTCTTTTGGAGTATTTAGATATATGGATCGGTATTAAAAACCTCACGTGTAGTTGAACATAGCTATCTAATATTATTAAGCAACGATATAATGTTTGAACTAATTTGAAGAAATTAGTTCTTATTCTTAGGCATAGGCATTAAAAGTCCATGGGCATATCCAATATATACTTCTCATATCCAATATATGAGTAATTGACCCAAACACTCATGGTTAAAAAGAAAAAATATATATATATATATATATAAACTCATATCAATTTGATTATATTTGCCTCGAGCACAAATTTGGATTTATACTTTTACTAGATGGGTCTAAACTTGTAAATCAAAATTTTAGCTAGGGATAATTTAGTCAATATTTTGTTCTTTTCTTTCTATATTTCCTATTTTTGGGAGTTTTCTAGTAATGATTTCGTTTAATATCTTAAAATTATCTTAAATCTAAAAAATATATATATTTTTAAAAAACATATGTTCATATTTCTTTAGCATAAAAGTAGAGGAGAGTCAAGATAGGAGAGGTGATGGCGTTTGTCTATGGCCGCTTGACAACATATTGTACAGTAAAAATAGTTAGAATAAAGAATGAGAGGGATAAAGTTTTATAATAATGTTTGGGACATAAATAAATTTTCTTTAGCAGAAGAATCTTTCATGAATCAAATATTTTGACTTTTTGTTCGAACAATGGGACCCGTGAAGTTTTGACTCATTATCTCATATTTCCTCCACTAATTATTTTTTCTTTCTTTTTTTTTTTCTCTTTTAAATAAAATAATATATAATAGTAGACCTTCCATCTCACAAACTTATTAAGTTCAGATTAGCTCAAACACACAAAATATCATCCATCAATTTTCTTACTCTTACTATTGGTGGAGTAAATTAAAAGTTGATTAATGATGTTTGATGAGTGAAATAAGTATCATTATTTAGTTAACCTTTTCAGTTTATCTACTTTTATGGATTTTTATCAAGTTTGATTTTACAATTAAATTCACCTTATTAATAAAATTAATATGTATTACCCTACTCCAATTTCACTCTCATTCGATGATGATTTAAAAAGTCATTTTAGTTCTTTTTTAGTACGTGGAAATTCAAACACACAACATATTGGTTGAAGATATGTGTCAATTACCGCTTATACTTGCATTGACAAGTCATTTTGTCCTTAATACTATTACAATATTGTAAATTATTTTTGTTGATCTGTGTGATGTATAAATGTTTATATATTAGAGTTTATAGGTTAAGGATAAAAAAAAAGAATTTAGAGGTAATTTAAAGACATTAATTAGAGAATGAAAAAGAATGGATGCACTTGTATTTGGTATATTTTAACTTAAAAATCATTACAGTCTCATATTTAATAATTATTAAACTAGATATTTAATAATTATTAAACTAGGATCATCGAAATAAGTCAGAATACTATTTATACGAAAAAGATAAAAGGGGGGATAGTTATTTTTCTCGTTATTTTTGAAGTGATTCAGATCAAATATTGGCCCATTTACAAATAACATAGAATTAATGTCCATTTTATATGGTAAGTTGGAATTCGTACTATAAATATTCTGAAAATATGAAAACTGAGACTTACTATTTATTTAGGTTTGAAACATAACAAATAGGGGATAACTAAAAGGCACATGGCACCAACCAAAAAACTACCCAATATCCGAACTCTATGTTTCCTCCACTAACTTCTATAAAAAAAATGGATGATTTCTTCAACCTTTACGTTGACAAATATATATTTCTTTAATTTCTACTCATTTTTTTTATCAGATAAATCAATTAGAATTCATCAGTACTAGAAAATAAAAAATATAAGAATTCGGGTTAACTTCAACACTAAACTAGAGGGTAAATGCCCAATCGAGCATAATTCAGTCTAATAGATATATATCTTGAATTAAGAGGRTGTGATTTTGATCTCCATACCCCACACGTTAGGAAAAAAAAACTGGAAAGCAAGTAACACAAATTTTGATGAATTTTTTTTAATAAGTAGATTATTCCAAAAGTGCGTCCAATTTAAATTAAACTTCCTTCTAGGAACACTCAAGATCTCTGATTAAATTTGAATACAAGATGGGTTGTTCGAAATAAAAAAAGGCACTATAATTTTAAAAATATCTTCAAAATTGGATTATTCTTGAATATCAAGTTCTTACTAAACAAGCTTATCTTTTAATAAAATTAAAACTATACAAATAAAATTGTCACATCCAGAGGAGAGAGGTGTATGGATGAACCGGTACTATATCTAAATGAAAGATATTTTGAGATAAGAAACATTATTAGAAAAAGTTTAAAAGAATTGATAGTTACTGCTTATACTAATAAAATGAACCTTCCTTTTCGGTGACTCAACATACTTCACGAATTTTTGATTTCTTAAATAATTAGGCTGAATTTTAAAATATTGAAGTAGATTATGTAAAACAGATATTTTAGCCTTTAATTTTGATTATTCCAAATAAGTAATTGAGACATTTATCATGACTGATTGAAACATAAAAATGAAATCTTTTTTTGCTAAAGTATTGTGAGGGCTATCATGACTGATTGAAATTAAAATGGGCATGAAGTTCTGTAGCAATAATATTGTGGGTACCCTTGAAAAAAATATATTATGGGTGGGGGTCAAGAAGCATCTCAAAAGTGCTTCTTGGACCCAAAGAAGCAATAACATTTGATTCAGATATTGCTTTACATCTGATAACACACAGATTACACATAATTCCCTCAAAACCGCTTTTACCTCAAAAATAATTCCAAAATCAATGGATCTTTCTTATCAAATTGTTTTGCAAAAGTTTAAGGTGAGTTTATAGAGGGCTGGGGAGAAATTTAATGAAAAATAGAGTTTATTTTATGTGTCCACTTATTATTTAATATATGACTGCGGATTTAAAATATGTAAATATTACCTTTAAGATTTACTTCTTGGATTACAGAATTCAAATAAAATCTAAATATTATTTTTATTAATAAATCTGCAAAACAATCTCATACAAACATTTTACCTTTTAAGCCTATTAGCTAGCCTGCATAAAAACATAATTCAATAGTTAAAATATTTCTATTTTTTCTAAAATTGTAGGTTCAAATCTCTACCTCTATGTCAGTGATCCTTTTATCTTTTTATCTTTTAGGTGTCTATTAGAGATTTCTGCCTAAACAATGAGTTAGGTTTGGGTTGATTTCTAAAAAAGAGAAAAAAAAAACTTGAAGATATTTACTAGTCAAGGCCAATTTTTGTATAAGTAGGAAAGAAAAAGGCATAAAACAAGGCATTTTCTGTATTTCAAAGAAATAAGAAGTTATCAAATTTTTAGTGTTGATCAATAGATGGATGCTGATATAACATCACCTAAACAGTGGTCTATGCCTTTTCTTTTCTAGAACATAAAAATTCTAATGTTTTTCATTAAGTATGCTGATGTTCACTATAATAGTAAATTTTAAAACACATTGAATTTTGTGCCTCTTTTCACTCTTTAAATTACAATCATAGAAGAAATTGAGGGTAAAATCAATGGACAAAAAGAGGTATACTAGAATTTTCATCAAGTCTAAGCTACAGCGGCCGAAGAGCTTGCCTTTTTCAAGCCTAGCCAGCCCTTTTCTTTCCTTTTCTTCATTTTCTTTTTCACCTAACTCGCGTCTTCTTAATCACAACTCGTAGTTGATTACTTCAATTTATCAGAAGTAGCTCCATAAACTTTCCGTTCCATCAGAATTCTCCATCGAGTCATCGGACGGCGGCGGCGAGTTCATTCTCGGCGGCGACACCATCATCCCCTCCGCCATGTCCGCCAGCAAACTCGGCATCCCAAAGAGTTCCTCCTCATCCACAAACTCTGGCGACGTCGTAGTACTATCGGTAGCAACGGTCGTCGTCGTATCTTCAACACTACCACCACCGGCGGATTGCCCCACGGCCTCCCCCTTCTTCAACGCATTATTGGCAGCGATAGCGGCAGCAGCAGAGGCAGCAGTACGTATATCCACCGGCGAGGTAGAAGGAGGAATAGGGTAGGATCCAATAGAAGCAGGAAAGTTGAGGACAGCGTCGCCGCCTCGGAGGGCGAGAGCGGCAACGTCGTAAGCAGCAGCAGCCATCTCCGGGGTAGGGAATGTGCCGAGCCATATGCGAGTAGTCTTACGGGGCTCACGGATCTCGGACACCCATTTGCCGCTCCGACACCGGATTCCTCTATACAAAGCATGCTTCTTGGTGGAGATAGAGGAAGCCATGGACGATGAAGAAGAATTAGGCTCTTTGGATTTTGGAAATTGGGATGTGGGGACAGGAGGGGAAGGGTCAATGGGGTGCGATGGAGGAGCTGGCTGATGAGGGGATTGGTCCATTTGGCTGTCATTAATTGGAAGCTTTTGGTCAGCCATATAAATATACAAAGAGAGGGAGAATTTGGTAGAGAATTAAGAGAGAGAGGGATTTGATGGCATATATTTAAGAGCAAGTGATAGCGTGTGCAAGGGAGTGTGAGAAATAGAAAAGAAAGCGTGGGGAATTCGTGGGCACTGAAAAAAAATTGGAAGGAAATTCAAGTTGGCCAGCGATTTAGGGTTTAAGGAGAGAGTTGAAAGCTGTGGGATTGAGAAATTTTTGATGGGTTTTGAATTTTGAGTTAGGATATAACACGCTTTAGGGCTTAGAGCTTTTGGTTGTAGCTTGCAATTAGCTGTTTTATACGGCTGCCCTCCATTTGGGATATTCATATGGCCACAAATTTCTCTCTCTTTCTTTCCCTATCCATAATTTCACACTTGGACTTTGTAGCTATATTTGGGAAGATCAAAATTCGTTGGAAGTGTACTTAAAATTGTTTAAAGTTTTTATTTTTGGACTTGGGGCTTGATTTCTTTGGTGTCTCCTTGACGTGGGTTATGTGTTTGATTTAAATGGGTTGTATTTTGAGATGAGGAAACTATGTACGATTCATGAGTTTTAACTTTTGATGTTTTTTTAGAAATTAAGATTATTCATGATTTTAAACCCTTTTGTAGTCACTTTTTATGCGTATTTTTATTTTCAAACATTATTTTTTTTGGGTAACTTTATCCCATTAAAAAAACGGAAAAAAAAAAGGAAAAGGAAAAATACTTTCCAAAATTTTGTTGATGGGTTTCTACTAAAAACACTTTACTAAGTATATATAAAAAATAATAAGGYAGAAATAAGAATAATGTTTCTAAAAGAAACCCTTTAACGATAATAACTACTAAAAAAATGGTGCATTTGAGTTTAATCAATATTAAACAATGAAATACAACGGAAAATATTCAATTTATTTTAGTATTGTAACAAATAGAGATGAGATTCGAATCCAAAACCTTTTGATTTGAAGTTAGCAGAAAATAATTAGTTTTAGATTTTTTTTAATTAGTACAATAAATATGGGGATTGAGGATTTAGCCTTCGATCTCTAAAGAAAGAACCACATGCCTATGCCTTACTCAATGAGTTAAACTCATGTTTGGCATAACCAATATTGAATTATATATTTTATACCATGATGTTTTTTCTTGAAGCAATTATGACCACGATCTTAAAACAAGCATAAAAAATTGTAATTTCCTTTCTTAAATGAGATAAGCTTACCATTAATAGCTCCATTATTTAAGCTTACCATTAATAGCTGAGAGAAATGTTAACCTAATATATAGACTCTAATTTAATTATATCTTTATCTTTATTTTTCTTTTAGTATTATTATTATTATTATT